ATATACTTTCACTACATTTTTGCCTTGTAATTATTTATGTTTTTAATTTGACTACTTTTACCCTATGCAATGCAGGGAATTTAATATTACAACATTGTAGTATCCATTATATTAAGGCAAATCATATCAATTATAAAACTAATCAATGACCAGATATACCAAAAAATTGATAATAAACAAATGAACAAAGAAAGAAAAGAGAAATACCAGATCTTTCACAACTCATTTATGGTCCGAAAAATATGAGAAACAAAATTCGTGAATCAACAAAATGAAGATAACTATTTGGTGAGCTTGTAATTATTTATGTTTTTAATTTGACTACTTTTACCCTATGCAATGCAGGGAATTTAATATTACAACGTTGTAGTATCCATTATATTAAGGCAAATCATATCAATTATAAAACTAATCAATGACCAGATATACCAAAAAAATTGATAATAAACAAATGAACAAAGAAAGAAAAGAGAAATATCAGATCTTTCACAACTTATTTATGGTCCGAAAAATATGAGAAACAAAATTCGTGAATCAACAAAATGAAGATAACTATTTGGTGAGTGAATAAAAGTTTTTCATTTATAAAAAATAATGACTAGAATAATAATCATATAATATAAACATACCTTTCTTTCAAGTATTCAGAAATGACTTCTAATAACCTTTCAAAAATATTGCAAATCTTTGATAAGCATAACAATGATCAATTTCTATCAAACTTTCAAACCGCGCACACACCACAACAAGGGCTCAAGAAATGATGTCCTCAAGACAATTGATACTTGTTGTGGTGACTGCTGTAATAGTTTTTATTTTCTTAATGGTGCTGCAATATTGTTTTTAGCCATATATACATGGCTATTCATGAATTTAATAAATATAAGCCACCTCTTTTCTTTTATGTTTGAAATATGTGCTTTTTCTGTTCTGATAATTTATTAACTGTTTCATTCTTAATCCTTTTTTAATAAGAAAATTGTAAGCTAATTCTTCTGTTTATCAGATATGATCATGGTCAAAACACAAAAATGGCTAGGCGGTGGAACCACCTAAGAGCTAAGCGGCTCGCTTAGCCTTTAATGAGGAAAACCCTAATGTCTAAAACCCGACCCGACCCGTCTCAATCCGCATCCTTAAATTCAACCCACCCCTCTAGAAACTCAACCCCCCCCAACTATCTCTATTCCCTCCGCTTTCTTTAAAAAAAACCCTATGGAAGCTCCTCCCCACATCTCTCCCTAGCACTCTGGCGCCCCTCACTCTCCGATCCCACTACCAGTGCTCCTTCGATCACCCCTCCGATGCTCCTCCCATCACCTCTCCCTCTCGAAATGCTCAAAAACCCTAGCGACCTCCTCTCCTCACCTCTCCCTCTAAAGCCACCTCCGATGAGTCCCCCTCTCCTTCTATTGACGGTCATTTTTAACTTTTTGTTAATTTTCCACTTTTTTATTTTATTAAGTATTTTTGTTCAATTTTAGTTACTTTTGCAATTAGTTATTTTGTTTTAAGTCACTGTTTTGTTCAAAAACCTAACAATTTATTTTTATGCATGGTTAATTATGGATCTAAAATTGTCATTTATTATTATTGTTGTTGTTGCAATTTCTCATGAACTTAATTCATGTTTTTCAATTAATTTAAAAAGTAGTCAAACGCCTAGGCACCTAGGTGCTAGGCCTCGGGCCCTCGGTTCAAACGCTTAGTTTGCCTAGCGCTTTCTATAACATTGACCATATGTATCCCTAAAAACTACATCATACTGTGGAATTTGATATTGGTATAAAATATGTATTTGTATCAATAACCAAGATTTTCTTGGGGAATCAAATTCGTGCTTTGTTCTTGTCCAAGTAGTCATGTGATTGGTTGTCTTTCATGACATTTTTCAACTTCTTCGTCAAATCATGTTTTTATGTAACTCTTTCCTTATTGTGGACATTTATTATTTTCTCATATTGTTCTTCCTTTTAGAGATTTATAAAAAAACATTAGCAAACCACTGTATATTGTCCTTTTGAAATTATTGCCAATGCTAGTCTAAATAGAAAGCAATTCATGACTCAAAGCCTCACTCTGGCCCAATTTAGAAAATGCGGTACAAAATTGAAAACATGTTTATGCCTTCTTTATCTCTTTTACCTGTATTCTTCTACCATTAGTAATCTCAACCAAGGGCGAAGGTACCTTAAAGAGGGTGTGTCACATAACACCACCCTCAAAACTCCAGCAAAAGCTCCTTAGGTACATCGTAGCATTTGATTCATTAGTGAACCTATTATCAAATTAAATAATGGATAGTGACCCATTGATAATTTAGATAACCCAAACCCGTAATGGTCCAAAGCGTCCAAACCTTTAATCCTATTAAATGTTAGGTACTTAATAATTTACATTGAAAAGGAAAAAAGATCTATTTAGTCGTATTTCGAATGAGTCAATTATGCAGCAATTTCAAAACATGGTGACACGCAATAATTAATTGTAATTGTACTTAGTTAAATATTTCTCTTGTATCTCACTAAAGTTCCTGACATATTGAATATGAGAAACATTAGCCATAGCGTCAATTTATATATCTCTATTAATCGCTGATAATGTCTAATTTATATACATATAGTGACACTAGTACTATGAATTCCTAGCTTTGCCACTAATCCCAACTCTAGTCTAGCCTAATCCATATTACCCTATCATCATGTATTCTCACATCACATATTATTCAAATCTAGATCAGCATCTTTAGCTTTTTTTCTTCTACAGAACTCATTAGTTTCAATGTGCATTTTCTTAAATTTATTTATTGGGTGAAGTTAGATTTCCAAGGGCTCAAAAGTAAACTATTTAGAGTAGTGATAACTAGACTATACACAATGCTCTATTTAGAGTAGTAATAACTAGACTATAATATACAAACTACTCCCAAACTACTACACCCAACATTGTGGGGTCCTTGATGACTCATCAACATTGATGACAGTCAAAGTTGGAAGGACCCCACACATTTGTGTAGTAGTGTAGGAGCAGTTTGAAGAGTATAGTTTAGTTAGAATTATGCAACTATTTAAAGATGGGGTAATCAATTAGGATAGGATAATAATATTTAAAAATATTAATTAGAATAACAACATTTAAAGATAAGGTAATCAATTACAATATGATATTATAGCAAAGTGGATCGATGACTCAATTAAACATATTAATTAGGACATGATAACAATGTAATATCCAAAATGATCAAGGGTAATACTGACCAAGGAGTATGATATGATATGATATGATATGATTATGTTTTCTAGCTTTTTGATAAATAATATGAATGTAGCTAAAATTTTCATCCTTTATATATAATTATGTTATACGAGCTACTAATCTTCTTGCAAATTATTCATTACATTGGGGTTGTACATAAGTATCCAGGAATACAGTTTTGCGGATTAAGGTCCAATGTGGATTTTGTAGAGAGGGGATGCAAGTGACCCGAAGAAGACACATGTCAAGCAGACTACTAAATATATGGTTAATTTAAAAAAAAACTGACCTTTTGGGTTGTTGCACTAAACCCCTAGACTTTTTTATTTCAGTAAACCATTTTAACCTTGGGGTAGCATAAAATCCACCTAAATTTTTAAATTCCCCTTAACCTTACCTTAAAGACCAAATTTATTTTCAGCCCCCCAAAACTAATTTTTTATTAAAAAAGGACAAGAGAAAATGTAAAGAGTTTATTGAGTTTGCAATGGGAGTAAAACTCCTATAAGCTTAAGTGGATAGGAGCCATTTGTCCACCAACGTTTTTATTCATTGATTTTGCATTGAGATTTGTGCTAACATGTAATATAAATGAAGGCAAAAATCTCAAAGATAGCATTGATGTGTAGCATAAATCTCAAAGCATAATGAAGAGATACAAAGTTTGGTGGACAAGTACTCCTATCCACTTAAGTTTATAGGAGCTTTACTCTTTTCATTGGTATATTACTTCTGAATTTTAGTGATGGTTAGTTGGTGTCTGATATGTGAGTTTCTAAATTTATTGAATACAAATATTGTTGCTATAGTAATGATGCATCTCAACTTTTGATATGTGGATTTTTCTTGGCAAAAATGTGTTACTGGTTGTCTTAGATACTGTGCAGTGATGCAGATATTCTCCAAGCACTCACCAGTCACCACAATCAAACTATTGTACAATGTTTTAAATGTCGACATGTCGGCCGACATGTCGGATTTAGGGGTCAACCGACATGATATAGAGCTTTGCAATGCGTATTGCATTTTCAGAGTTTATGTCAGATGTATCAGGGGACATGTCAAATATGTTGAGAGGATATGTCGGGTGAAATGTCGGTCGATTTTTCAGTCTAAAAAATTAGCTAATTTTTTTATTTTTTGGTTATGTTTATCTAATCAGTTTTGGGTTTAAATTCTTGATTGTCTTAATATTACTTTCAAAGACAAAACCGATAAGTTAAGGAAAATGGAAAAAAAGACTGAAATAATATCCGTCGCTCATCTTCTCTCTCTCCTTCGACATCTCATCGGTCTCTTCTCCGAGCTATTCCTTTGACATCAATATCGGGCGATCTTCTCTCTTCTTAACTGCTAATATCAGAGTCTTTTTTTCTCACATCTTTCCTTCAACATCAACCCTAAATATCATAAGTTATTTGCTTTTTTATACGTTTAGACAGTAGAATTTTATTATGATATTTACATTACACATACGCACAACATCCGATATGACAATCCCATATTTTTTTCATGTCTCCCGACATATCCCCGATTTTCGCTATCCGATATGATTTTTAGCCGTCCGACATGAACCCGACATCCGACATTTAAAACCTTGCTATTGTACGATTTACGACCTGACTTTGTACAACAATAGGAGGGAACAACATGTGCAATGCAAGTGTCATCTTACTAGTTGAAGAAAAAATTGATAAAGAGATCATCACATAGAGATGAAACAATAATGAAGACAAGTATAATACCATTGGTTAATTGAATTCTTTGTCTCCCTTTCTTTGAAGGTTTCTTTTGATCAGCACCACCATAAAGCTCCTGGTCAGCATTCTCCTTAGAGCTAATTGACTTGCAACGCTCTGCAAAATCAAAAGTTGATTTAATGGAAATGATGCGTATGCTGACCTCCAGAATGCTTTATCCAATAATACCGTAAGTTTTGTAGATTGACAAACGAGCTAATATATGCATGTTCCATTGAGTGTTATGTGGTGTGTGGATTAGACATTCTATATGAAAAACAAACTCAATGGGACATTGAAAGGAAATCAGCCTCAAAGCAAATTCAAAGATTCAAAAATAGATTGGAGCATAACAAGGGAGGATAGATTCAAAGATAAAGACCAAATTCATCGTATCAATCAGTATATCTTCTTGTGGGTATTTAGATCTACATTATTAATTAGTCCATATTCACTTGGAAGCTCTTGACTCTACTCACAATTGGATAAGCATTTATACTTCTTGAAATTGTAGATAAATAGGATCACCAAGAACCTAGGGGATTCCACTTAGCAGTAAAGAAGATGAGGATGAAAGCATATCTGAACTCATTTCTCAAGGTGTCTATCTTCAACAACCAGTACCTCCAGCAAATAAGGTGAATCCAGTGAAGACCGGGGAGAATTACTGTTTACAGGCAGTAATTTCATCGGTTCTCTCTCTCTCACTTTTTAATTCATGATACCTTCTTCTTTACATTCAGCTAGAAATCCAAGCCTATCACTTCTCTTCAACTTCCTCCTCTCCTCTTCTTCTGGTTGCTACAGTGGCCCTCGTTGCTTCTGCAACGCTATTAACCGAGTAGATGACACTTATAGTAGTTGAATGGAAAAAAATGATAGATGTAACCAATCCCAGAACCTTGGTATTAATGTTTTTTTCCCTGTTTTTTGACAATTTGGTTCTAGATGACATTTAGCGGTTAGTAGCCAGACAAGGCCCGTAACAGTCTGCTGCTTTTACAAACTTACTAGCTACTGATATGCCCACATTCATTCAAGATAAGATGCTCACGTTTGCGTTGTTAATAAGTAGTTTTGGTGAAAAGCTATGATTTTTCAGAATCACATATCAACATAATGGGTGGCATGTATTAAGATGCATAAGACAATCGCTGCCCGAGGCGGGAACAACGGGGCAGTCCAACAACGAACTACCATGAACATATATATCAACAATATTAGGAGGTAATTGGTAAAAGCTGAAACCTTCATGAGCTGCAAACTGACTGGCTTTCACAGGTTTGCCGCAAGCATTACAACAAACCTTGAACATAAAATGTAAAAATTAGAAATTAGTCGAGAAACATTAAATGACATGAAAGAAAGTTGCAGAGAACTTTATGTATTCTACATAAACTCTATGGATGCAAGACATCCGACAGTAAGATGTAGCAAGACACTAATAATTTATTACCTGTAAGAACTGAGAAAAATATTAGCTCTGAAACCATAAATCACTTAACAGATTCTAATTACAGCAGGAAGTACTGCTAATTTTGGGAATCTTGGCTACTATATATTAAAAAAAAAGCTTCACTGCAATTATCCATCAACTCCAGTAATATTTCAGAAATGGCATCCGCAGGATGATTACATAGGAGGGAAACAGAAAAAATAAGCTGAAAGTTGTTGACTATTGAATATTTGAAGTAACTGTATGAAGTATCAAGTGAACATATATTCAATTCCAGACATCTCCATTACCCAGAGATGAACCTTAATACAAGCTAATTATTCAGTTCATGTGGCCACACCCAAACGAGTGGGGAAAAAAAACTTCTGGCTCTGTTTATGTAGTAGAATCAGTTACATTATGAAATCATCAGAGATAAGGATAATGCTAACATGATAACCACTTCATACAACAATTCATAAAGAACAAATCAAGAAAACTAGCTATGGAATAAGTCCGCACACCAGATGCTTTCAGCAAGTTCAATGGCAGGGGGCATGTTAGAGTATGAAATTATAACCTTCAACCCTCACTACAACTTCAAAGGTTTGATGAAGTGGTAAGGGACTTTAAGACTTCATGCATAAAGATTTAAGCTTCTTAGTTTGCTGGATTCTTAGTTGCATGTTGTACACTTGGTTGCTTTTTGTTCTCATACATTTATCAACGTCTTAGTTCTGTCCCATGCCAGTAAGTCATGGCTCTCAATAATGAGATAAGCTGGTTGCATCATAAACATGTGATGCTCCTGTTTGTGCAAATGTGAAGATTTTGCCATATTAAGGACAAATGTGGCAATTTCCTACATTGCACACAATAGGTATTTCAACAGGCTTTCATTCATAAATTATAGAAAAACCAATATTCAAAAAACAATACTCCATTGTGACTTGTTGTATAAATTTGTGGTGAATAGTTCAAATTACTAGATCACCATTTCTTTTATCTGGTATGTTCAGTTTCACATAGAAAGTCTACCTGCCATAGGATATTGTATGTTTGTGGGAGGCATTCTAGCCTCACCAGATGAGGGGTTGATGTTGAGTAGAGAGTTATTGGTCACAGTACGTGCAAGCTCATGCAGTTAAAATCTCCAGTGGTTGGCTTTTACCAGCTCTAATCAATAACCATGAAACACGCGGTTATAGTTAAATATGACAATAAAATTGCAGCTTATTGCTATAAATCAAGTTTTCCATGCGTGAAATAAATTCTATAAAGGTTGGCTGTAGATATCTTCCTGAAAAAAATGAGAAGTGCTCACAAGTGCAAATTGCTGATTTCTCCAGTAACAAGTTGGATTGACTTTACATTTAACGAGTTAAAACTATGTCTCAATATTTTAAAAAGCCTCCACCTAGCCAACCTGATCATAAACCTAGGCCTAGGCGGTACCTGGGCCACCTGCCTAGTGTCTTGGCGGTACCTAGGATGCACACCTAGGTTTTCAAAGAGCCTAGGAGAACGTTGCCTGCCAACGTGGACTTGCACCCTTTCGGCCTTAGTCATGATTTTCTTCGTTGCAGCCTCCATGTCTTCCAACCTCCTCCACACTCCTCCATCCAACTATGAAAACCTCTATCTCCTCCGACCTTCTCCTCCGACCTTCAGATCCTCCACCGCTACTTAAACGAAGAATGAAATCTACTTAGGTGTCAGTCCAGCGTTCAAACTTTCTAAATATTGACATTTACTATCAATTGTAATTAAAAAACAAAAAATAGGAAAACCACCTAGGCCCTGCTTAAGCTCCCGCCTAGGTGCTTAGGATCTAGGCGTCGGGTCCGACTAGCGCTTTTGGTAACCTTGTCAAGTATTGAGGGTTTTTGTCATATAGATTAACTTAAAAGAAGGCAAAAGTAACTTTATAATTTAGGGAGAACTACAACTTATAAAAAATAGAGCTTCTATTATTGTTCTTTTTTGTGAGTTTTGAATTTTCTGATGCCTCTGTGTCTACACGGATGTCATCATTTTCTTCTGGTGTCTTCCTTTCTCTCTTCACAGCAACAAGAGTCTAGTTTATGGTGTTAGGATGACTAGAGCAAGGAACCACATTTAGTTTATTTTTCAACATGTTCATTTCAGTGAAAAATTCGCAGTCTCATTCTCTGGGTCTGAAGATTGGATCCAAAGATGGCAATCAAGCGGGTTCATAGATGCAGGTCAATTTGAAATTGACCAACCCACATGAGCCAATTCATACTAGAATCTATCACAAAATGGTTGCTAAGGTCGAAACTCAAAATGGTTAATACATTATAACCCAGTTTGAACTCAAACTTGTCAAAGGCTATATTAACCATCATCTGGTACTTAATAGAATATCAAATGTTTATCATCCATTGTTAAACTTTCTCTTAAAGAACAACATCTAGACCCAACAATTGCATCTCAAAACATTCTGCCTTTTCTAGTGTAGTTTGTCTATAGATTCTGACCTGTGGGTGAAAGTGTAGCTTGTATTCTGGATTATGATTTCTGACAGCTCATCACTTACAGAGAAGACTTTTGGCATAGTCCTTATCTGATATCTAATAATGTTTCCCTAATATGTAAACCATGAGAGAAGTAGCATGGTAACATTTTTCTTCTTTCAAGTACCAACGAAAAGACTATATCATAATCATCATGTCACAAGACTCAAAAACTAGTAAAGCATGCCTTTTAGTGTAAACCACGAGCCAAGCACTGCTGTAAGAATTTTTCAAATAATCAATAAACAAATTACTACAAAATAATCACAGGATCAGTCTATGAAAACAAAATCAGAGTAGTTTTCATTCATATTCATGTCTGTAACGATACAATATATACTATGAAACAACATTTGATTAACAAAGAACCATAGTACTGCAAGTATAAATGAAGAAAAGATTTAATTTATGGAATCTGCTATAACACCATACACCGACAAGAAGAAATAATCATGTTACATTTTGTCAATGTTGAGTATAGCTATAATCCAGTTTCGTTGATAATTACCAGATGCAAGGGATCTGTCAATGGCATAGCATCAAATACATGCATATCTGCAAAATAAAAACCAGTGAACAAAAATGGTAGCATAATAGGATAAGCTTTAGGTAGAATCATCGCTCTAAATTTGGTTCTTAAGAGACTCTTCCTATTTAAAATTTATGTTGCAATGAATTGGTATATAAAGGTTACAGGCATGTGATACATCCTAGATAAATTTTCTTTTGGCATGATATTTTTTCCATGACAATGAATTAACATGTTTTTTAATATGACCATCCAATGTACATCAATATATGTACTTTTTCTTGCATGGATGGCAAATCAAGCTTCATTTATCACAGTCCTCACTGGACAAAATGGATATCAAACCCTCACTGCACAAAACGGAGACACAAGCCAAAACAAGCTCCCATTTGCAAGATTCCAATGTTGTCAACAAGATAGGAAAAGCCATAATATAAAAGAATTGACAAAGAACAAACGGAGATAGAAAAACTTAAAGCACAGATGTAAGCGGTCATATGAAACAAACATAGACACTATCCTTTAGGAATAAGAACAATCTTTCCTGGAAGAGAAGAGATAAAGCACCACAAAATCATCTGAAAGCTGATTGTATATAATGGAATGAGCAATTATCATCTCGAAGTATCGAACAAATTTCAAAGTTTCTGCTGGAAGAAAAGCATAATTCATCTGCAATTTTAATCTAGAATATCTTTCGAGGAAGCTTTAACCAAGTAAAGCTCAAACCTTCTCCTCTCAAACAGTGGCACCATTTTCAAACTTACAAAAACTAGACCCAGAAAACATTCTGTCTTCAGAAGTGCTTATGTCTCTTCATTGAACATTGGTACCAACTAATTGTTTGTTTCTTAATAGTATTTCTTAATGTAGCTACACAAATTGCAGCATCAACCTTAGCCTAGGTTAAGACTTAAGAGAAGTGGCCATGGTAGGGCAAGGGCTTCTACGGTTCTACCCTATCCTAAATACAAAGTGCCACACCCTTATCCTAATCGCTAGTTAAAAATATGAAATTACTCCACCCTAATAGGTAAAGTTAAAATTCTCCTTTGCAAATAGGTTAGATGGGTAAAAATGATATCTTAAAAATAAAATATTCAAAGAAACTATTGATTCTTTCTTCCTGAAATACCAGGATTTAAAATTTGTAATATACTTTTACTTTTTAGTTCTCTTACAAGTTACAAACATACACTAAATGAGCTTATCCGAATGCAAACAAAGATATATTAATACTTTCTTTATTTTAAACAATCTTAGTCAACTAATAGAATAAAGGTGATGCTTGAAGATTGAATTCCTTAAATAAATGATGTATCAACATTAGCAAATACTTAAAATATAATAATATTATTATTATTGATATCTAAATGTGTAAACTAGTATATGTGTACACAGAAACCACTTACCTTGCCCGTCCCATTTATATAGTCGAGTAAGAAAACCTATCCTTTAGATGACAAGGTAAGAAATACCCCTACCCATTGATGCTTTGCTTAGAGCCATAAACACCAATTATCAAATCCAATACATGAAAACAAATATGAAAATGTCAGCCATGTCATGGACTTATTCATTTTCATTCACATCCCTATCAACATCCATTTCCCATTTGGGAAAATATACAAAATGATTTTTGCGCAATATATGTATCCGTATTCCATATTTTTATCCACTACTTGAGAACAAGTATAAAATGACACCTTCCAATCACGGTGCATATCTATTGTGACTCATAACCCATCATCAATACATTCAACACTTGTAAGCATTGTCTTAACCATCCCCGATATATCCAATATATTCTTTTATAAGACTTTTTGCAAAACGACATCCTCTTAATATCCTTTATCGCTTTTAGAAAATTTTAAGTGATATATCCCCAACATGGCCAATTTATCAGCCGATATATTGGTCCTTATGTCCTTTTACCTGCCTTGTTGCAAAACAATATAGTTTTGCAAAATTTCTTTAATGTTTTTTAGCAAAAATTCTAGCCCTACATTTGGGATAAAGGCTAGGAGATCTAGAGGTAGACCTAGAATGACCTGGTTAGAAGCAATTAAGAAGGATATGATTACGACTAACTTAACGAAGGAGATGACCCATAACAGAATAGAATGGAAAAATAGGATTCATGTAGTCAACCTCAAACATTTGTGATAAAAGCTTGGTTGTTGTTGTTGTTGTAGCAAAAATTCTAGCCTTAGGATGTCTTTTAGCAAATTCTAGTGGAATTTTTCCCTAAGTAATTTTCTACAGTTGGCTAATGAGCCTAAACATATATTATTTGTATGCTTAGGTCTCATTTGATATGTTTAGATTACATTGTAGGACATTGTATTATATATGCACATCATCTGACATGGCACTCCAATATTTACTATATATCCCTAGTATCCGCAACCCGATATGGATTTTGTGCATCCGATATTTCTCCAATATCTGATATTTAAGACCTTGCTCATAGGTCACTTCCGATTATCCATTGTGGTTGTTTACTTTTCTGGCCATCTAATGTCAATCCATATAGCTGAAAGTTACTTTCCACCAACAAAAATTTAAGGTGAGAAAATATCAATGATTGCATGATTCTGTCATGCATTGCAAAGTATCATCATTCTCTCTTCATCCTAGTCCTCTCTGTAACCAATATAGATCAATATAGACATCATCGTCTGTATTCTACATAGCTGATCAATATTAAATATGGGTGTATAACCCAAAAAATTTGTCTACTGTAGAAGGCTAATTTTTGTCAATTATAACACGTTGAATAAAAGAGCTGGTTTAGGAAAGGGGTGTATCCATTATCTGCTACTTTGTAACTAAAAATGTGACTTTTTAGAGTAGTTGTTAAGTTGCAAGCTATAATGTAGTCATACCCGCCAGGACATATATTGAAAGAATAAGACATTAACCACAGCATAAACAGAGGTCCAGTGTTCGATTTTGAAGTCAACCAATATAGTCCAAATTCTGTACTGGTTGTTGATTTGATGCTCATGTCTCGACAGAATGGAATGTCATTGAGTGTTCTTGTCAAGCAAAAATAATTAGCATTCGATGTTTTTTTAGAGAAAAATGATGCTTGACTAAACAAAGACGAGGTTTTGGGTGAGAATTAAAGAAAGCAAATTAGGAAGAAACAACAGGAAACCAAGCAATTGTTCTGACTTCTAAATTACCTTTCAAAAATCCCAGGGTCCAGAGATGTGCCTAGAAAGTGTTTTCTACCCCCTTTCTATAGCCATGTCATCCTAGACCCGAGAAAAAATTGTAAAGCGAACTTGAGGAAAAAGGAAGTCTCATTTCTTTATTATTGAATTGAAAAAACAAATAGGAATTAAACATTTTTTATAAGGGACACAATTTTTTCGTGTATTCGCCTAAATAAGCTATTGACCCTTTGTTCTGTTCAGTTGACAATGCGCTCTTTGACATGGCAATGAATATTCTAGAGGTATTTGTAGCTTCTTCTTTAAATAATGTAGATTTTGAGTTTTGCAAGAACCTTTATAGAGGCTTATACTTCTCATATCCCTAAAGTAAATGGTAAAAGCTAAAGGGAGTGTATTTTTGAGAAATCTAGGGGTTTCACAACTTCTCCAAATATTATGTTATCTAGGTATTCACTAAATCAATGTTTGACATCAAGGAAAGGACCAACAACTTGCACTATGTCCCAGACAACAGGTAAATCATAAATATGCACATACAAAGCAGAAAGCAGGACAGAGAAAACTACAAAAATCCCATCCGAAAAAAACATTTATTCTATACGATAGCTATGAATCAATGGAACTGACCAGCTTCTTCAAGTAAATTCTGCTCGTCAGCATCATAGAACTGTCGGTGAATAGTCTGTATAGCAATTCCCTCGTGTGTTACTTCTTCTGCAAAAAAAAAGATATTTCAAAACCATCTAATCATATACGTAATTCTGGAAATGGATTCTATAAACATTCATTTGGCTGTTTATACACACACACACACACACACAGTTTGAATTATCCAATGATCTGGAGTGAATAAGTGAAAAATATCAATGATCAAGATAACATACATGTTCTTCCACAGTATAGCAACTCTTAAACACTTAATTGGTAGTTACACCCTGAGTAAAGCAAAGGAAGCACTCCAAACAAGGAGCTTTCTCATTCTTGTTAGAGAGGCTGCGGTAACCAAGAGTATCCTGATGTACATGAATCCTAAGAATGTCTAAGAGCATTCGATTGTGAACATGTGAATTAAATATATGTTAAATATACAAAGCCCGAGTGTAAGTAGATGGAAAGTCATCGCTTGGGATTAAGAAATTAAAATTGATGATACCATCATGAATTTGTAGAAGGATGCTTAACTATGTGTCACCGCGGAGTCGCCGACAAGTTTTGCACTTTAGGTAATTCATGGTTATCTCTGGCTTACCAAGGATCATCCAGTGTAGGATTAAGACCATTATTATTTGTACATGGAAAACAATTGTCCAATTTTCAAGTATCCTACAGCATACGACGGCGAAAATTTTAAGTAGAATACAAAGACAAATGTGTGTACAGTCTATGATATGGATATAGACACACATACTTCACTTTTCTCATGATCCAAGTAGCAAGATACTCTCTTTAACAGTTCCATAATTTTATGACATAATCAAAGAAGCATGACAGGGGTCAGGATGAATTGTATTCTCTGTCATGAAGTCTTTCCTGGCACTCTTCCCAATAATTTTAATTTTCTTATTTTTAGCGACAAAAATCTGTTTGTGGCATTCTGCCACATAAGATGTGTTCAAGTTTTATAATATGGATATAAAATCCTTTCGTGTTGCTAAGTTCCCCATGTATCCCTGTGTTCCCACTTCACAGTGACTTTTTTTGGACAATGAAGCATTAAGAAAATATTGGTTAAAAGAAGTAGGCTCAGTAAACATTAGAGATGTAAAAGATGGTGAATTTTTGAATTAATTTGACATCTAGTATTCAGAATAATGGTGGTGATAGAGGTCATAATGGCTTTGCATAGGTAATCAAGAACTAGAGATCTATGAAAAGTAAAATAGGTGCATCTACTTCTGAAAAAGAATTTAGGACAACTGTGAGGAAGGCAGAATTATTGATCTTTTCCCAGAAATTTCTTTGACAAAACCCACTATCACTGACCAAAGAAAAAAGACCAAATAATTGACGCCTGGATTGCCCAAATGATATCAGGTAAATGGAGCCAAGCTTCATAGGACAAAACTTAATGCATATCCAAAGTTGAAGAACTGCCATGATGAAGATGTCAGAGGGAATAAAAAAAAATTCGGGCTTCTTCCTACATGAAAACTCAAGTCTCAACTATGTTTTTCCTTTTGTAGTCTTCAATTAATAAGTCATCTGACCCAAGCGCATCTTCCCAGTTCGGGAAAGGCAATTTGGATCTTAGAAGATCCTCATGAACCAGATTGAGAAGGAGAAGGGAAACCTTATACATGCTACCGAAGAGAACTATATTGATCTCTGCTTGGATGTCAACCCCATTTACAGTTGCAATTGAGCAGCACAAGTAATGCCGCCAGAATTTCAATATTAACCCAGACAATTTTCGTGTGAACCCAAGGAGGTAATTTTAGGATTGCCGTGTTCGGCCAAGACTAGACTAGTGGGCACCCAAACATGTGGGCCCTGGATGTGCGGAAGCATAAGGTCCATTTATAGTAAACAGTAGGTCTGAAATGGATTTGGGTTCCCTCCCTTTAACTATTAGCTTTTAGGCAAATTCTCCCAGGTCCCCGTCTTCTATATAAACAATATTTATGTCGACATCATGAGATAGAATTAAATAAACACGAATTTCACATAATAAAACTAACAGTGTCATGCATTGTACGGCCAATCTTTCATATGCCCTAAGCATTTTCTTCAAAATTGTAACACAGTTTAGCAATCAAATGCAAACGCACAAATACCTGAGGATTTCTCCGCAAAATTTCCAGCTTCATGAAGCCTCACCATGCAAGCCATCCTCCCACGATCAAACGAACACACCATTGCGAAATCAACAACCTGCATTAAACTCCCCAACATCAAAACCCCCAAATTTACAAATAACACCAAATTTTCATCCGAAATTTCAAAAAAAATGCACCGATCTAAACTCACAGACACGAAATTTCGCCCAAGATTTGAGAACCGGCGGTGCTCCGATTATGCTTTCCTTTTTTCCTTCGATTTTCTTCACCGCTGGTTCCTCCGCTCACGTGAGACTCACATGACGCCGCCTCTCCGGTGACCTACGGCGGCGATGGCGGCGGCGATCGGAAATTGTTGGCTTCGGCGAGAAGAGATTTCGGGAGGGGGAAGCGCTGAGGTGACAGGATCGATGTCCGCCGTTTTAAGATGTTTTCTTATTCTATTTGTTTCTATTTAGGGTGACTTTCATAAAAACCATTGAACTTTGGAGTTTTGCATAAAACTCCTGAACTTTTCTACTCACCAAACTTGCAAGAAGTTTGGGGGTATCTCGTTAATCTAATCTAATACTATTATAAAAGTGTGTTGGTATGTTAAAATATTTCTTTCAAAAATACCCTCCAAACCACATACATGCATCCATAAAACACATACTTGCATACATATATAAACACATGCATATACATGCATACATTCTTAATAATGACATAACTCTCATATTAATTGTCCACTAATATTAACTTCTATTTTTTGTAACCCCTCCACTAATCCAATGTTAATGTTATTATAAAAGAATTTTAAGGTTGTAAGTTGTATTTGACATAATAGCTGAGAATTGAATGCACACACATATGACAAACTAATAATATACGTTTCAATTACATTTGATTGTTACGGAATCCAAAGAGCCTGCTTTTTTTTATTTATCATAATAACCCTTACTTGCAACCTATATAAATTCACTCATTTGATGATTTAGATTTACACCCACCTCTTACAACCATATCAGCATCCTATACTCACCACATGGCTTTACTATGATATATTTGGATGATACAAGCTCGCCAGTGAAAACATTATCCCTTCAGAAGAGATAACGACAAAGGGGGGTGAAGACGATTGAATTGTGCTGATGGGAGCTTTACTCGGATTATACTTTATACTGATGTGATTGTTAGACTGACGGCTATATGTGAATTCAATTCACGATTGATACAAGGAAATGTGGAGAATTCGGATTGAGACTAAAGTTTGAGGTCTAATTTGAGGGGGTTTTAATGAACTTTTTTTTCTATTTCTATAATTATTACTAAGTACTTAATTGTGATTTGAGAGAAATATTGTATTATCCATGAACTTAGTAGATATATTTTTTGTAGCATGTTACTAATTATATGATAATAGAAGAGAGAGAAGGTGAAAGTGAGAATTTTATTTTGTTATAATGGATTAGCAAAAACAAAGATAATTAATATAAACTGGAATAGTATGGCACACTTAACATAAAAGTAAAGAACAAACTTGAAATTTTTGTCTTTTGGGTAAATTTTTTTATATATAAAGTATATTATAACCTCCCTAATGTTAAAACTATATTCTAAATTTGCACATAAAACTACCAGTAGTTATTAAATGTCATTCATTATCTTAAATTATAAAGTAAATAGAACTATGTCTTTTAAGATAAAAATTTGTTTGTATCTTTTGGGTATTTCATGATTTGCCAATGTTCACAAAATAACCCTAAATTTTTTCACAAACAACCATAGATCTTCATAATTTTCACAAAGACCATTGAAATTTTATATATTTATAGAAAAATACTGAACTTCATAATTTTTTATAGGTAAACCCCTATATAGTTCAAAACTTAAATCTTAAGAAGATTGAAAGAAGTATGTTATCTAAATTAAAAGGAAATTACAAATAAGTCCTCAAATATTGTTATAATTACATTCAAAATGAAACTCTTCCATTAATTAAATAATGAATTGTGTAAACTATTAGAACATAAAACAAATATGTCCACGTGCAACGCATGTGCACTATACTAGTGTGTTGGTGGATGTACTCCATCATATCATATCTACTCACCAAACTTGCAAGAAGTTTGGGGGTATCTCGTTAATAGGAAAGTAAAAGAATATCTGAATGGTGGATGTACTCCATCATATCATATCATATCATACTCCCTTTAAAAGTACGATTATCATATCATACTCACTTTAAAAGCACGAGTTCGGGAAAATCTTTCTGTAGACAAAAATACCCCTATAAAGTTTGAACTATCCAATCACTAATCAATTCTAAGTTTTAAATTGTATTTAACGATTTATTCTAATCCTAATCAAATAACTTTAAAGTTTGAACTATCCTAATCCTAATAAAATTTTAACTTAATCAAATTCTAATAATTTTTAAATTAAGTTTAAACTAATATATCTATCCTTAATACGTGACATTATATAATAAGGATTGTAGGGTGTAAAATTTGATTTCCCAAAACGGGGACTTCGTTTGTATTGATAAGAATATCTTATTATAAACTAATGAATCAAAGTTACAACAGAAATGGAGGGAACGCCCTCCTTGTTTAACGTTGGGTCTTTGGTAGCGATAGGATACCTCCATCAGTGCTGGAACCGAGTTTGCTTCCCTTGGACGATCCGAGCAAAGTCGTAGGCGAGCTTCAGTACGCAGTAGAAGCGCGTGTTGATCGAGTTTGAGTTCCCGAGCTTAAAGGCTATCAAGGCCGAAAGCTAGAAGAAGATGCTACAGTGCAAAAGTAATGCAAAGAGCAGGTCGTTAGCTAACGAAAAGCCAACAACCATCAACCCACCCCCCCAACCACGTAGCCAGGACGGACACTTAAATAAGGAATAGACTACATGGTCACTCCCTTGAATCATGGGATGTGAGTCATGTGACCATGTACCGTTGAGAGATGTCATGCCTCTCACTCGTACTGTGAGCGGCTACCTGATGGGTGCGAAGTACTGTACTCCCCCCTTCACGTCATGGGAAATGGGAAGGCTCATCCCTATACGTGATATCATAGTCGCCTAGTGCTCTGGCGAGCTTGGCAAACTTGCAGACGGACTACTGATTGCCTGGATGTGTAGGCGAACTTCTTTCGTGCTGGCGAACTCAGCGCTTGAGTGGACTTGACTCGTGCTGGTGAGTCGAGTATACAGGCGAGCTTCGTTCATGCTAGCGAACTTAGCGCTTGAGCGGACTTGACTCGTGCTAGCGAGTCAAGCATGTAGGCGGAATTGAGCTCATGGCGGCGGGCTCGACAGTTAGAGCAAGCTAGCTTGGCTCTTCTGCTTGCAGGCGTACCCATACAGGCGGTTTTTTAGGTCTTCCTATTGTTAAGGTAATTTTTATAGCCTACAAGACCCCCTTCAAAGTTTTCAGATCTAAATCAGGTCATGTGTGGTCTGGAACACTTTGAACAAAGAGGAATATTGTTCATTGGTGGGCACGCGCACCCCAGATGAGTTAGTTTGTTATGGGCGAGCTCAAGTGATAGGCGAGCTCAAACAACAAGCGAGCAGAGTCAGACGGGTGGGCTCAAGCGCCAGGAGAGCTCGAACAGCTGGCGAGCTTAATCAACAGGCGATCTTCACATATTGACATGCGAGCTAAGTTATGTAGGCGAGCTTGAGAGACCCTTATGTCCGCGGGCGGAGCCTTGTTCTTGCCAGCTAGGGAGCGTGGGCACGTCAGGTCGCATTAAACGCGATTTGATAAGGCGACCTTGTTTTCACGCGCCTCGTCTGGCGATGAATCATGGCTATTGATTTCAAAAAGCATCTTTCGAGTTTGGCCGTTGGATCGGCCATGAACCGCCTCTTAGTTTGGGTTTCGGATTTGATCCGCCCGGCCTGCTCCTTATTTTGACGGTTCGTCCGTAACCATCGAACTCGAACTATCGAGAGTCATCTGAGCCGTCGATTGCGATCATGGCAACGCCTCTCAACTGTCGGCGTTTTGCCTTTAAATAGGCTTTGTCTCCTTCCTTGGGAGACTGCTGTGCTTAGCGATTTTTGCTTGCTCAAATTCTTCAGAGAGAAAGAACTCGAATTTCATTGGACTTTTCTCGTCTCTCTCTCTTTGACTCTGACATGGCGCTAAAATCCAAGAAGTGTGTTTCGAAGGGAAGGGGTCCAAGCTGTTTTTCCGGTAGCGTCACCGCCAGTGCGGCCGCCAACACCTCTGGAACATACTTGGATAAGTCCAGGGGGCTGTGGGATGACCTCGTGTTGATGAACGAGGTGGAACTGAGAAGATGAGCACCGTTTGCTCATCTTCCACAGCGAGCTTTGTCATCGCAGGCGATGTTCTGCGATTTCAAGCAAACTTAGCCTTTGTCAGGTGAGTTCAGCCTTTGTTAGGTGAATTCAGCCTTTACCAGGCGGATTCAGCCTTTATCAGGCGAACCCAGAACTTGTCAGGCGAAGTTGACTTTGTCGGGCGATGTTCGCCAATACATAGAAGGCCGCCTATTTGGAGGTCTTGAGAAAATTTTGCACTTCTGAGCTAGAATTTTCTAACTCTCTTTTGCTTTGTTTTGTAGCCGCGTTTTCTGACGAGGCCCTCCTGAAGGGCGTTGCCATCGGCCTTGCTGGTGGCATAGGCTATGTAGCCCCCTCCCGATTTCTGTTTCTCGACCCAGTGCATGTGTTCGCTGCTGACAAGTCCGCCGAATTGGTAAAGAAGGTGTCCGACGGGCATCATCTTACGTTGCGCGAGTTGATCACTGACGCAGCGCTGACGGATGTGGCCAGGAGGGAACTGAAAAAGCTCCAGTTCTTGTTTGGTGATGCTACGGCTGACCCTTCGGCTCTATGCTTGGAGAGAACAGATGACTCCGAGTCGTGAGCGGGGTCCACTACTACATTCCTAGCATGCCGAGAGGGTTTTCAATTGTTGAGTTGCGCTCGTTCTCGGTTTCAAGAATGATGAATTGGGATTTAACCCCTACTCAAGACGGGGTGACTTGCGGGGTCTTTACCGGCTCCACAGCTAGATGTGGGGTCGATAACTCCTGCAAGCATGTGACTGCTCTGCGTCCAGGTCTGTTGCAGAACGAATTACCCGTAGGGGAGACGACTGTGATGGCAGAGACTTTCCATTATGGTTTCTTCCAAGCTGGGGGACAATTTTCCCTAAAGGACTTCAGGGCCCCGGGGTGGATTCATTCTGCACCTGGCAGCAATACTTGATGGTCTAAGATCACCGAGTACAGTTTGGTGGAGAATTCTGATCTTGAAGGGTTAGAGTTGTATGTGGCTATTAGGGCCACCCAACACGGCCTGAAGATCAACGCTCCCTAGTTCCAAAGTATCTTGGAACTCTACTGTCCGGATAGCGATACGTTTTTCACGCCCAACAGTGAGTTGGGCATAACATTCCATGAGAAAGTAC